TAATGGCTCCAACTAGGTCAGTCTAAAACTATCTATAACATGGGTTGTACTGACAAAAAAAAAACGTGCACAAGTAAAACCATGATACAGTAGGAAAGAATGCTCACAGTTATCACGGTTACTGAAAGCAGACTCAAAGCTCTTAACCTGATTAATACATCAACACATATAAAAAAATCTTCCCTTCTTACACTCTTATAAATTATATCGACCATTGTACTTCCGAGTAGATGTCGTACAGAAACGTCATGAAGAGTGAGTGAATACATGATTTTTGTCGGTGTCTCTATATCAGATCTAGGGTAAAAAGAGAGGCGGAATATACCAATATGAATAGTAAAACGTATAAGTCGAAATCAACTGACATTGCCATTGCTACAAATGTACAAACGGAAAACAACCAAAAGATAAACAACATTTTATCCAGAACATAACATATAAACCTAAAGACGCAGAAACACAAACCCAAACAAAAACAGGGGGGGGGGGGGTGATTTCAGGTCTTCCGATAAGGTAAGCAGATCCTGCTCCACATGTGGCACCCGTCGTGTTACTCATGTAAGTAAAAACCCGGTCAACCCTTTTTTTATTCATTCATCCGTCTTGAAATAGCCTGATATTATTTTTGTCGTGAAGATATGTCGGATTAAAAGACTAAGGCAGATTTGTCATCAGGTGCTCGGGATTTTTATTTTTTATAACGATATGTGGCTTTTTACTTGCATGTCCACTCGTTTTTCGATCTTTTGCCATGCCGTTGTCACTTTCTCTTCGACCTGTCAGTTTTGAATGGCCCCTTGGTATTTACCACCTTTTTGTGGTCATCGCTTCTGTGGTCTCGTAGTAGCGTGCTCATCTCGAATGCGGGAGGTCGAAGTTTCAATCTAGGAGTGAGTGCGTTTAGAAATAAGAGGAAAGACTGGTTTGCCCGATATCAGAATAATTAGCCCGGGTAGGCCGTGACATATCTCCCTGCGGACTTGTGAACACACATGTTTAAAATTCGACCCAACGTGTCGGTCTAGTATAATCATATCGCATAATTTAATAGGTCCAACTTCTCCTTATATGCATGTAATAGTTGCCACTGGACGTTAAACACTAATCCATTGTTATAATCAGGTTGACTTTGCCTAATGAGGGTGTGGATGGGGGTTTACAGAATAGAGAATAATGGCAAAAATATAAAGAACTGAGAAAAATGGAACAGAAAAAATAAAGAATAGAGAATAATGAGATGCTAAAATATAAAGAATAGAGAATAATGGGCAAAAAGTATAAAGAATAGAGAAAAATGACTTAAAAAATAAAAGAATTCAGAAATGAAGGACCCCCATTTAAATCCTCCTTAATGATCTGTAAGGGCATATACCACTCAAAATACTCTACGAGAAATGACGTTCTACTATTATGTACTAGTTTATAGTAATAGTTGAATATGATAGTGACTTCCTGTAGTCACACACGGAATAAAAGGAGATGAGCGCAATGAGACAGCAGTTATATACATTGTATTATAAACTACGTATCGAAACCACTAAAACACTGCACTATCCACTTAGAAATAACAATTTAAGTTGTTTATTTTTCATACTTATGAACTATGTTTATAATCTTTGTCATATATTATTAATAATTTATCGTAGTTGATGTAACTGGAAGCATGAAGACAAATGTAGTAGTTCCGATTTTGCTCTGCATTTGTCTGGTTTGTGTTTCTGGTCAACGAGTGAGACGTATGTATTCATTATCTCATTTATCTCATTTACACATGAAAACATTAACACACCTTTACAATTTTAAATAGCAAACTGCACATACAATTTTATTATTGATTTAATTCTGGGGCTGGTCAATGGTTTGAGGAGAGAGGTGTAGTTGTACATAATGGTATAAACGTAGCCGAGCGTTGCAAGCCTGAGACTATTTTGACGATTTTCTTTTCTTTTGTAGATACTTAATTGACAGTCGATTATTTTAATAAATTTCAAATTATTCGAAAGAGCACTTCATTAATAACTGACAAATCGCCCGATCGATCTTTATGTTACAGTTATGTTCATCAAGGTTCAAATTTTGTTTATTCTCATATTCTATAGGGAGGCGCCGATGCTTTCAACCTAAAGAAATTGGAGTATGTCGTGCACGCAAAACACGATATTATTTCAACCAAGAGAACGGAAGTTGTGAAGAATTTATCTATGGTGGTTGCCGTGGAAACAGAAATAATTTCTTTTCATTAGAACGTTGCAGAAGAGCATGCGAGTACAAACTATATGAGTTTAAATTATTCTCATGGTACCTCATTGGGTAAGAAGTTCGTAAGGGCAGTGAAGTTATTTAATAAATGTTGCATTACCGCCCTTTACCGGGTGTCCTATTTTTACTAAGCATTTTTTTAAATTTTTTTTAATGAGGATACTTTTTTCTGTATTCAATCAATATTTGTAGGTGTTATGCTATGATTTGATATATTCTTACCTGAACTCGGGCTATATTTGCGAAATTTTTACCTTTACTCAGGCTATAATTTGAGATATCTGTACTCATGCTTTGATTTGATATATTTTACCTGTACTCAGGCTATGATTTGATATATTTTACCTGTACTCATGCTATGATTTGATATATTTTACCTGTACTCATGCTATGATTTGGTATATTCTTACCTGCACTCATGCTATGATTTGGTATATTCTTACCTGTACTCATGCTATGATTTGGTTTATTCTTACCTGTACTCATGCTATGATTTGGTTTATTCTTACCTGTACTCAGGCTATGATTTGAGATATCTTTACTCAGGCTATAATTTGAGATATCTGTACTCGTGCTATGATTAGGGATATTCTTACCAGCACTCAAACTTTGAGATATTCTTTCCTGTAGACCTTGCTTCTTAACTAAGGCAATACTTGGAGATAATAGTTCATGTATGAAGAATGAAATATTATGAAGAATATTATATTTGAGACATTCGGTCCTGTAATCTGAACAATTCATACTAAATCTCTTTCTTGCAATAATACATTTAAGATATTCTTCCTTGCATTATCTTGGAATATATATTTCAAGTTTAAAGTCAAATGTTACTAAGTTGTGTATTGGATAACTTGTGAATTCTTACGGTTCAGCAACAGCTGTTTTGTACGCAACTGGCACTCTGGACTGAATATTAATCTATTAGCGCACAGGGTAACCTTCAAGAATATAACATTATCCTGAAACAATATATGATGCTAAAAGGTAAAAGACAGGAAAATACATAATCCTAAAACAAAACAATATGACACAGGGTAACAGTCAGGAATAACATTATCCCGAAACAATACAATATGCTACCAGGTAACAGTCACGAATAACATTATTCTGAAACAATACAATAAGCCACGGGGTAGCAGTCAGAAATAACATTATTCTGACACAATATAATATGCTACAGGGTAACAGTCAGGAATAACATTACTCTGAAACAATACAATATGCTTTATCCTGAAACAATACATGTTGCTAGAGAGTAACAGTCAGGAATAACATCATTCTGAAACAATAAAATATGCTACAGGGTAAAAGTCAGGAATAACATTATCCTGAAACAACACAATATGCCACAGGGTAACAGTCAGGAATAACATTATCCTGAAACAATAAAATATGCCACACAGGGTAACAATCAGGAAAATACATAATCCTGAAACAATACAATATGCTAAAGGGTAACAGTCAGGAAAATACATAATCCTGAAACAACACAATATGCCACAGGGTAACAGTCAGGAATAACATTATCCTGAAACAACACAATATGCCACAGGGTAACAGTCAGGAATAACATTATCCCGAAACAACACAATATGCCACAGGGTAACAGTCAGGAATAACATTATCCTGAAACAATTCAATATGCCACAGAGTGTAACAGTCAGGAAAATACATAATCCTGAAACAATACAATATGCTAAAGGGTAACAGCCAGAAAAATTCATAATCATGGAACAACACAATATGCAACAGGGTAACAGTCAGGAATAACATTATTCTGAAACAATACAGTATACAACAGGGTAACAGTCAGGAATAACATTATTCTGAAACAACACAATATGCTTTATCCTTAAACAATACATGTTGCTAGAGAGTAACAGTCAGGAATAACATCATTCTGAAAAAATACAGGATGCTACATGCTAACAGTCAAATAACTTTATCCTAAAACAATACATAGAGAATATTATATGGCATTTTGAATATCACATCCGTATCAACCCGGGACATCAATGTAATACCAAGAGCTCTGTTCGAGGGATTATATTGGTTGAGGGTTGATACGGTGTGTGATATTTGAAAATGCCATATCATATACACTTTATTATATAACTCAAGTAAACTTTTTTTTCACGTGACATGACGTAATATACATTAGGGGTGTGATTAAGGCTTTGTAACCGTGACTGATATCGATGACGTGACGTCATATATATTAGGGGTGTGATAAAGGCTTTGCAACCGTGACTGATATCGATATCATGCATCATGGATGGCTGATACCGCATGGTTGACATTGGTCGTATTACACATACAATTTACATGTATTTACTACTAATTATATAATAAAGGAGCTTAATAAATGGGCCAGTGTACTGCAATCGTATAAACCCTCTGTAGAAAGATTTAACTTCAGGAAAAATAATATGTGCTGTATTGGTATATGAAATTCAATATATGGCATTATTGCATAATATATTTTTAACTTTTTTTAAAGAAGTAGAATACCTTGCTATATATTAAAGAATATGGAATAGATATTAGAAGCCGGTGAAAAACTGTTAGTTTGTAAATTGTTTTGTTTAGGTGAACAGGAATACAACCAAAAATTACTCAACAGAGGAAATGGTTTGGATGGCCAAGATGGACAAGACGGCCAGGACGGGTTGTCCCTCAGCGGTTTAGGTGGAAGAGGTGGTAGACGAGGCATAGGAGAAAGAGGTAGAAGAAGAGGTATGGGAGGTAGAGGTGGTTCTGCAGGAAGAACAAGGAATAGCGAAATAGGTGGTGTGGAGAATATCACCTGTCAGGATAACCAAGATAGTTCACACAACATACCACTAAATGGTGGCCGTGAGGATAATGAAGGCCATGGGGGTAATGGTGGCGGTGGAGGTAATGGTGGTAATGGAGGACAAGGTGGTAATGGTGGTCGGGGTGGAGGAGGGGGTAATGGAGGACATGGTGGCAATGGAGGACATGGCGGTAATGGTGGTGGTGGAGGTGGGGGTAATGGAGGCCATGGGGGTAATGGTGGTAGTGGCGGTAATGAGGATGTTTGGAATGACGGTAATGGAGGCGATGGTGGTGGTATTGAAGGACATGACGATGAGTGGTGGTGTTGGCGTTGGGGTAATTAAGGGCAGGGCGGTAATAGTGGTATTTAGAATGATTTTGACAGAAGGATCCGATTCAGATGACTGATAAGGCAGTTACGGTGGACTCATTTTAATTGACAAATAAGCCCTAAAATTTCTAAATACTTTACGCGTTGTTCATTTTAAGAAAATAATAGCATTTATAGCTTCATATTTTTTTTTATTTGCATGAAAACGTGCGACTCTCTGTCATATATACATCATGTTATGTACTTCCGCTAGGAATTCTGAAGAATATGTCAATTGGTCCAACTTTATTTTATGAAGATCGTGTATAATAGACCACTTGAATGTATAAAACCAAAGCCCAATTAAAACGAAAATTGTCATAAGGTTGAGCTATACTTTTGAAGCTTTCAGTGGAGGGTTTTTGGGGATGGGGCGTAGAGGGCGTACATACCCTTTGATTAGAAAATACATGTATATCATTTAAGCTTCAAATCTTCCATTTTTGTCTCGGTATATAATGACTACTGAAATGAAGTTATTAAAGATGGCATTTTTTAGAATTAATATTGATTCACTCATATTGTTAAACCAGTTGTTGGCATGTTACGGGTCATGATATTCTTATACAATTTATAATGGCATGATACTAAAATACCTACGGGAGGGATTGTGCTTGATTTCATATGATGAACACATATTAATCTTTCGATCAGTTTAATTGAGGTCTGGAGCTAGCATGTCAGTAACTGCTATGTTGTTTTGTGTACTGTTGTTTGTCTGTTTGTCTTTTTCTTTTTTAGCCATGGCGTTGTCAAATTATTTTCGACTTATGAGTTTGAATGTTCCTTTGGTATCCGTCGCCTCTCTTTAACTGCTAGTAGTCCTTTGTTGATTTATGTTGATCATTGCAATTTTGCTTAGTTTCTTCTGTTACCAAGTCTAACATCAGACTTCTTTTTTAAACTGAGTTTTACTGAGCGCATTGCTGTATGTTTGTTTATTCCACATTAGATAGATGTATAGGGAGAGGGTTGAGACCTCACAAAACATGTTTGTTCCAGCCGCATTTTTGCACCTGCCCAAAGTCAGGAACCTCTAGCCTTTGTTAGTCTTGTGTGCTTTTTTTCACTCTTATGTTTCGGAGTTTAGTGTGGTGTCTCTTTTGCTGAACTAACATACATTATTGTTTAGGGGTCAGCTGAATCCCGCCTCCAGGTGCAGGATTTCTCGCTGCGTCAAAGACCCATTGGTGGCCTTGGTCTGTTTCTTGCACTTTGGTCGGTTGTAGTCTCTTTAACACATTCCCCGTTTCCATTCTCTATTCTAGTTTTCAGGAATTACGCCCCCTTCAAAAATCCTGGATCCGCCCTGCATTTGTCATTTTTGATAATAATTAACGGTATGCATCATGGGCAGTATACTTGCCTTTAGATAAAGAACTGTTCGTTGGGCTATCCATTGATATACCAAAGCAAGTATATTAGAAATTAGGATATCTGATTTTTCTATTTGAAATTGTATGTATCATATATTTTGACGTTTATAAGATAATGCACTTCCTATTTTAAAGAATAGAAATTAACATTCGTAACAGTGAAGTTATGTATAAGCAATTACAGGTGCACAGTTTACTCAATTTGTAATTCCAACGAAGTGACGTCTAAAATATGTAAGATGAGACCTGTTGGCCATTTGGATAAGTACTCTTTCAAAGTTCATGGAAACGACTTTCATTTTATCATTTCATTTAAAATTTTTTACTTAATTCAGACGGAACACTATTATTTGTTTCTTTCACATATTATCGGATTTCCACGAATAATTAAAATTCAAAATATTCATTTTTCCCTTTGACATGTTAGATGTGCTAATTAAATCATTACAAAAATATTTATTGGTTTAGTTGTGTCCTGTTGTTGCTATCTCATTTACATGTGCCACAAGTGAGTCGGGATCTACTTACCCTTCCAGAGCTCATGAGATCACCCCTGGTTTTTGGTGGGTTTCGTGTTGTTCAGTCTTTAATTTTCTATGTTGTGTTGTATACAGTTGTATGTCTTTTAGTCGTTTTTCGCTTTTTAGAATGGCGTTGTCCATTTGTTTTCGACTTATGAGTTTGAACATCCCTGTGGTATCTTTCGCCTCTCTTTTACGTCTATCTGAGGCTAGTTAAAAGTTAACATTCTAGATACAAATATTTGATTAGTAAATTTGGCTGTACCTGTAGAACACTTATTAAAAACGGTATTTCACATCCTAAATTTTACGGTAATATTAATTGTACTAAAAGCGCGGAAATCACTATGTGATCCGCGTAAACTCATCGAACCTTGAAACAAACTTATTAGTAAAGGTTATCTTACCAATGTTGTAATTAGATCTTTGAATATAGTTTACATTGGCACAAATATCGATTTTGTCATCAGCAAATTAAAACATAACTAAATTTGTATTCTTTTCAAACGTTTTTTTTAGATGTATAAATACACATCCATGCACGTCCATTTTCTATATAGAGATTACTCTATCTATTATAATATATTATATTATACATATTTATTAACAGGTTTACTCCTAACTATCCTAGTGCCTGTCGATACTTTTATTTTGGCATTGCACAAGTCATGTCTTCTTTGACTGTCCATGACGTTAAAACACTAAATCCCTGAGATGTGTTTTAGTTGATTTTAGATCCTGATGCATGATTTATTTATTAATAATTGTTTTTGGCTTTTAACTAGCTTTCAGTAACTGCGAGTACTCTCAAATCGTACTTTCGTGTTAAGTTGACATGTTGATACAATTTGTAATGTATTTTTGTTATTCAATGTTTACTTAATTATTCAGTGTTATATCTAGTCTCACTATTTTGAATATATACCAACTTTGATAAGTGTTTAGTATGACGATAAATTTTCACTTTTGTTCTCGTACTAGGAACAACAAAATTATTTATTTTGTAAAAATTATTTCCGTACTCCATGTATACCTTACAACAAAATTATTTTTATTTACCTGTGTACGTTATTTTACTTGGCGGCATTTTGTCCAAGGTTAATATGCCCAGCTAACACAAACTATTTTCGTGATATTATTGACTGGTTATATATATGTTTATCAGAAATATTTTCAAAAAAATATTTTAAAGACATTTTGTTTACATCAAAAATTAGGTGTGAATGATATTTTACCAATAACATTTCATCCAAATGTTTGATTGCTAATATAAAAACATTAAACGTTTAATAGACATTTTTATAAACGAGAACAGTTATATGTCGAGGAAACATTTCTTTACAATATTCAAACAATATCGGATGGACATTTTTATATTATAATTATAATATATATTTGTAAGATGTGTAAAAGAAATGTTTATAAAACATTTTTGATTAATATCTGCGTAAAGCATAGGTTTTATGTATAATAAAATATCCTTTTGATGTAACATCTAAATAATTTTCTTGTCCTAATTAAAAATATAAGCTGGTATTACTAATGAATATTTCAATAACGTCATAACAATATATTTTTCAATTTTATTTAGAAAATATTAGTTGAAGGCTATTTTATAAACATTTTAACATAATATGTCTTATAGATATTTGTAAGATGTATGCCACAAATGTTTATCAAATGTTTGTTAGTAATATTTGAGTGAAGCATGTGTTTGATATGAAAAAGAAATATTTTTTAGATATCACATTTACATGAATGTCTCCTCATTTTTATAGAAAAGCTTTAATAATTCCAAAGAGGTTATATGAGATAACCTCCTTGATAATTTTAACCTTTGATGAACATTTTAGTCATGTATTATTACCCCGTTTTGAATGGTTTTACACTAGTCATTTTGCGGGCCCTTTATAGCTTGTTGTTCGGTGTGAGCCAAGGCTCCGTGTTGAAGGCCTTACTTTGACCTATAATGGTTTACTTTTACAAATTATGACTTGGATGGAGTTGTCGCATTGGCACTCATACCACATCTTCTGATATCTATGTATAGGAATTTGTCTGTAATTGGTGAATACATTTACGCCACTGTGTTATTTTGCTATGGTCATTAGTTTTCTTGTCTTTCATTTTTGCTTATGTACTTTTTCTATAGAGTGTCTATATGCCATTTGTTTTTCTTTGTTGACACATTTGTTTGTTTTTATAGTGATTAAGATTATAACAATAATGACTGCTGTGTCCCAATTTTTGACGTTTTTACCTATTATGTCTATTTGTTTGTTCACACATTGTTGTCAATATATTGGAATTCTATGCGACTGTCATACAAGTGAGATGTGTAGCTAGCTACACGGTTTACTCCTGGTTTGCCCACTTTTAATTATACCAATTATCTATTAGTAAAGAAAACAAAAAAGACGAAAGGTTTAATGAACATACAATTGTATAGTCTGTTCCAACTTAGGAATATAGTTTATTAGTGTTTTCTATATATTCAGGTATTTTTTATTTTGTACTTCCATTTTCATTCGTATAGAAAAATAACAATTAAATTAAAAAAATTTTTCTCAATAATTTAATATCAATTCAATGGATTCATTTAACTTACATGTACAACTATTGACAAAACAATGACATTCAGTAATAAAAGTGTCTTAATAATTCATTAGTTTCTGAATGATTTTCATGATATAAATACACCAATATATATAATATATATGAATCAAGTTTATAAATGCATTGCATATTAAGGTAATAATAAAGCACATGTCAAAATAAGTAGTATGGGGCACTATATGTATAATGATCGGAAATACAATATTTTATATATATGTATCAAAAGTCACAAAACATTAAATTTACAAAGTCACAAATTACAATATTTCACTAAGTTGTTCAGTTTAAATTGAGAAGGTGGGATGTTGCGTCAGAGTAGTTGATGAGTCCTTGTTGGTATCTGTCTTTCAGTAGTTGGAGTCTATCACTCTGTATCTTCGTCTTTTTGGTGGGCGGGCTCCTCCTGCTGCATACTGGATAATATTACATTCTGTTAGTGCATGGGTCTTCTTCAGTAACTCAATGATCTCATAGATGTAAGGGTGGGCATGTTGGAGTCTCTTCTTGATTTTGTTGTGCCATCCTTCCAGGTGATGCGTGGTCCTTCTGTGTAGTAGTGGTTCCATAGAAAGTGGTATTCTTCAACCCAGAACTCTGTCACGTAATCAGTAAATGATGTTGTTACGGGTATGTTGTCAGCTTCACCTATGTATTCTAAAGTTGTTAGCCAAACATCCTCAACTAGGTGGGGTGGAAATTATAAGAGTTAATACTGTTCAAATGGTGTCATATACAAAGCTTGGCTACTGAACAGTTGCATTTTATATTCTATTTGTTAGAATTGATAGGATATTTTTTATATTAAATTTCAGAACAGTGTATTTATCAAAATTTAAAAAAAGAATAAGTTGAATAAATATAAAGAAATTCAAATGACATTTATTCTAATCTTTTCTTAGTTTCATTATTTTACTTTAAAAAAATTTCAGAATGTACCAATAATTAAAACTATTTGTTGACAAATGCTAAAATTTAATTCACATTTTTGTACACATTTTTAGAATTTTTTTTTTGTCAAATTCAATATATTTTCCTGCTAAAAATTATATCAAATATAAAATATTTTTGCACATTTTCCTTGCTTTAATAGCAGAATATAATATCTTTCATAAAATTTTACAGGTAAAATAATAGGCAAAAAATATGACTATAATTCAGAAATAAACTATAATTGTTAAAACAACAATCCCCCCTATGTTTACATATGCATGTAATTAAAAGTGGGCAAACCAGGATGACACCAGCTACACAACCAGGTTTAATCCACCATTTTCTACATAAGGAAATGCCTGTACCAAGTCAGGAATATGACAATTGTTATCCATTCGTTTGATGTTGCCAATTGATAAAGGACTTTCCGTTTTGAATTTTCCTTGAAGTTCGGTATTTTTGTTATTTTACTTTTTATGTACCTCTTTGTGTCTTTATGTTGTCGAATTGCTCTCTCATTGACGTATGCCAACATTTCCTGTTATTCATATTCAGAAGGTGCACTCAAAACCAATCTTTGTTTAAACTAAACACATAAAAGGTTTGGCATTACAAAACTAAATCGACCTAGCGTACTTCAGTTGGAGCTTTTAAGAGTTGTGTCCAGTATTGGGTCTCTAAAACCCCATATACTTATCACATTGGTAAACGATTATATCACATTCATGTTCGCAATAGGTCTACAGTGCACGTTTACATCTAACAATCATTTTTAGTCGATTTTAAAAAAATGATAATATTGGGGGGAAAAGGAGATAAATGGTCTAAAACATGAAGAATATAAGGACCTCTATCCAGACACTGGTTTATTTCATACGCATGCTAATACCGAATTAAGCAGATGTTAACCTCGTTTCGTTACTATCACGTTTCGTACTTTATGGACATCATAAATCCAGACGCTATAGATCTATTTCTAATGCGTCATTCTATGATGCGGCTGAATGGTCGAAACTAGAATATATGTCGGATTAAAGGACTATAAGAGGACGACCATTTGATTTCGGAAAAGGGGGCGGGGGTTTCTAGATTGACATTTTTTTTCATCTGCTACGCATGCTCATTTATTTTCACTCTTGTACACATTTGTATTCTCAACTTTCTTGCATTAAATGTTGCAGAATATTCATTTTCGTCTTGTCTTGTACAAAGTCATTGTATACAGTTCTTAACAGGCCAAAAACTAATCTTTTTTTTTAAATCCTCCTCTCTTTTTGCTTTTGTAATACCAAACATCCGGGAACCAGTGCGCTCTAATCTGCAATTAAAGGTATGTTGAATTTTTCAGCACAAGTCAGGATAAGGTATTATAGTTCTGACATGAAATAACTGCCACATTATTTGAACTTAAGACAACTGAAGTAGCCATTAACGCTTGAAATTGCAAAATTTAACATAGACAGCAATGAGGCCATAAATAAGTGGTTTTATTCCTTAAGGACACCGCCACAGTGGTCTTGTATTAGAGTGCTCACCTCGTGTGCGAGACTGGGTCGTAGTTTCGATTAAGGAGTGGTTGAGTTCCGGAATAAGCAGAAAGACAAGTCGGCCCGATATCAGAATAACGTGCCTGCGGACTGTTAACTTGTATACAAGCACGTTAAAAATTTGACCCAACTGTCGGTCTAGTATAATCATATGGCATAATTTAATAGGTTCTCGTCCTTATATGCATGTAATAGTTGCCACTGGACGTGAACACTAATCCATTGTCATCTATCTTAAGGTTGGCTTCGGTTAATGACCAGTAGCAATTACTAGTACATGTAGTAGTTATAAGGGCATATAGCACTCAAAATAATCCATTGTCACTTGACGCAATGTACTTTTATGTACTAGTACTGTTAGTAACAATTAAATATTGTTGTAACTTCCTGTAGTCACACCCGATGAGTAGTATTCCTCAATGAGACAACACTTATATACATTGTATTATAAACGACGTATTGAAACCACTGAAACACTACACTATCCACTTAGAAGTGACAATTTATGTGGATTATTTTTCATACTTAGGAACTACGTTAATAGTCTTTGTCATAAATTATTAGTAATTTATTATTGTTGATGTAACTGGAAGCATGAAGACATATGTAATAGTTCAGATTTTGCTCTTCATTTATTTGGTCTGTGTGTCTGGTCAACGAGGGAGACGTATGTATTCATTATATCATTTATATATGAACACATTTACACTTTAAATTAGCAAAAGGCATATGAAATTTCATTATTGATTTTCACGTCTTGTACGTGTTTCTTTTTTGTTGTTGTGTTACTGTCTTTTGACTTTTATCCAACATATTCTGTTATATAATTTGGTTCTTCTGAGAATATAATCAGGTATTCATAATAATTGTTAGTATATGAGCTGTCTGGTGTGTTATTTAATCTCAAGACCAAATTAAGGAAACCCAATAAGTAACTTCACACAGAGTAACGCTTTAAATGGAAATAGGACTTTCAATTTCTCTTTACCACTTTTACCATGAGATCGTAGTTATAAATAGATAAAATTTCAAAATGAAACGAATTTTTATCCTGATGATGCCGCGATGATACAGTTTTCTTCTTTTTAAGAAACAAAACCTATTGAAAAAAGTTTCCAAGAATATCAATTTATCGAATTATGAAAATGAAGCAATAAGCTCCCATATATAGCAGACAAAATCTTGTCCAATCTGTATAAAATTAGATTAATTTGATGCCAATGATATAACTATCCAGCAGAACATAAATGAATTTATGCTTGCAAATGAATAAAGACAAAACTGTATAGAAATAAGATTAATATGTTGCCAGTGAAACAACTATCCACCAGGTAAAAAATGAATGCAAACCGCCTCGTAGGTCTCGTGTTTTCCTCGAGTGCGGGAAGATGTGGCTTCGAACCCGGCGGGGTCAAACCAAAAACTTTAAAATTAGTATTTGCTGCTTCTTCTCTTAGCACATAGCATTAAGGAGTAAGAGCAAAGACTGGTCGGGTCGGAGTCAGACGAATTTGTCCGGGCAGGGTGATAATATATATTTTCCTGCGAGCTGTTACCTTGTGAACTAGCACATTAAAAATAAATCCGGCTCAGCGTGTCGGTCTAGTACAAAGCAGGGTTAATATTCATATTACATAAACATGTTCTAGTCCTTAGTATGCAGCTAATTTTCCGCTGTATGTTAAACAGCCATCCATCATCATCAAAATGAATTCATGCTTGAAAAGAAGTAAATATGTATGGGATGCTTTCCTGTTAATTTGTACATCTACCTCCTATCTATTATCTACCTCCTATCTATTATCTACCTCCTATCTATTATCTACCTCCTATCTATTATCTACCTCCTGTCTATTATCTACCTCCTATCTATTATCTACCTCCTATCTATTATCTACCTCCTGTCTATTATCTACCTCCTGTCTATTATTTAACTCCTATCTATTATTTGCATAACTTGTGTTTCTGAGAATGTTTTAACTCTCCATTACCAACCGAAACAGTGTTTACATGTAAAAGTACAAAAAAGATTTGATAAATAGATTTTTTTTTCTTATTAATGCATGCATTATAATACAAATAAGAATGACGAGATTTATTCGTCGATACTTAATCGACAGTCGATCAAGCTCGATCTCAAATGGTTCGAAAGAGCATTTATTCATTAATTACTGACACTAGCAATCTTACTGTTCCAGTGATGTTCCTCAGTGTTCATATTTTGTTTATTCTCATTCTATATAGGGAGGCGCCGATGCTTTCTACCAAAGGAAATTGGAGTATGTCGTGCTCGTAAAACAAGATATTATTTCAACCAGGAGACTGGAAGTTGTGAAGAATTTATCTATGGTGGTTGCGGCGGAAACAGAAATAATTTCTCTTCATTAGAACGTTGCAGAAGAGCATGTGAGTAGAAACTATATGAGTTTAAATTATTATAACTGTAACTCATTGGGTAAGAAGTTCGTAAGGGCAGTGAAATAAATGTTGCAATACCGCCCTTTACCGTATGGCCTATTTATACTAAGCTTTCCTGTTGTTTTTTTTTATATTAACGATACTTTTTTCTGTATTCAGTTTTTTTTTTTTTTAGGTATCTTTTCTGTATTCAGGCAATACTTTCTGTTATTCTTTCTTATATTCGCGGGAAAAAATTCTGGCTATAACTTGAATTATTTCATATCGGTTAAGAATTAGCTTCTCTTATTGCATAAAAAGGGGCCACATGACATTCTTTTTTCTTCAGTAATAATTTCTATCGGTCTTTAACAGAAAAAAAAACGGACCGGAAACCGGTCGTTAACAGACTTTTACATGTTAATGACCGGTGGGGCGTGGTTTCCCTGTTTAGAGAGATGTCCCTTTAATAAAACATTTTCCTGATTTTATTTTTATATTGAAGTTGTTGAATTGTTTACCATATATTTTTAATTATAAAATTATAGAAAACTTTTTGTTTTCATTTACTGAAAAATTTCATTTAAATGAATGGTAGTGACTTATAGTTATCACAGTGACTATGACTGGTCTTCACTCTTTCCTATAGAAATCGTACAATGACTCGAGTTTGTTTTGAACAATTTGAATTTAAGAGAATTTTTAAAAACATGGTTCCTCAATGAAATAAACATAATAGTTATTGAAGAACTGGTCATTATCGTGATACAAGGACTGCCCGTAGGACAGTGATATTGACTGCGACAGCGATAATGACCTCGCCTACGGCTCAGTCAATACCACTGTCCTTTAGGCAGTCCATATATCACGATAATGACCGGTTTTTCAATAACTATTATGTAAATATTTAACCTGTACTCATGCTATGATTTGATATATTCTTCCCTGTACTCGGGCTATATCTGAGATATTATTACTTGTACGTAGGCAATAACTTGACATATTACATATGGTGTAGTATTCTTCTTTTTTCATTGGTGATTACGATCACTTGATTCAAAGGGTATTTAAGTATATACTATGTTTCTATTTATATATATGACGATCAATATTAAAAATCTTACAAAACGCTATGTTTCTTTTTATATATACATGTATATATATTGACCTTTATACTTACCTAAGGCAATACTTGGAGATAATATTTCATGTATGAAGGATATAATATTTGAGAGTTTCGGTCCTGTAATCTGAACAATACTTTCGAAATCTCTTTCTTGCGACAGTGCATTTAAAATATTTTTCCTTGCATAATCTAAGAATGTATATTTCAAGATTGAAGTCATAATGTTACTTAAATTGTATATTGGATAAATTATTGATTCTTGAGTTCAGCAACAGATGTTTTGAAAGCGACTGCTACTCTTGACTGATTTTTAATCTATAAGCACACAGTGTAACCATCAAGAATAACATTTTCCTGAAAAAATACAGATCAATGCTATAGGGTAACAGTCAGGAATAACATTATCCTGAAAAAAATACAGGATGCTACAGGGTAACAGTAAGAAATAACATTATCCTGAAACAATACATGATGCTGCAGAGTAACAGTCAGAAATAACATCATTCTGAAACAAAACATGATGCTACAGGGTAACGTCAGAAATAACATTATCCTGAAACAATATAGAATGCTACAGGGTAACAGTCATGAATAACATTATCCCGAAACAAAACATGACACTAACTACAGGGCAACAGTCAGGAATAACATTATCCTGAAGCAATTGAGGATGCTATAGGGTAACAGTCAGAAATAAAAAAAAATATCACGAAACAATACAGAACGATACAGGGTAACAGTCAGATATAACATTCTTATGAAACGATACAGGATGTTAACAAATGAGGCAGTGTACAGCATTGAATTTCGTAAAAATCATATGTATTTACAGTTCTAATATATAAAATTACATGTATGGCAATGAAGTATCTAATATATATAAATATATTTTTATAAATTTTAAAACGAAGTGGTTCATAGAATAAATTGCTATAAATTAAAGAACATGGAAAATAACTTCTTAGTTTGTAACTTGTTTTATTCAGGTGAACAGGGATACAACCAAGAATTTCTCAACAGAGGCAATGGCTTGGATGGTCAAGATGGACAAGACGGACAGGACGGACAGGACGGGTTGTCCTTCAGTGGTTTAGGTGGAAGAGGTGGTAGACGAGGCCAGGGAGGAAGAGGTGGTAGACGAGGAATGGGAGGAAGAGGTGGTAGACGTGGAATAGGAGGAAAAGGAGGCTCTGCAGGAAGACCAGGGAATAGCGGATTAGGTGGTGTGCAGAATGTCACTTGGCAGGATAACCAATATAGTTTAGACAACGTATCACTGAATGGTGGCCGTGAGAACAATGGAGGACATGGTGGCGGGGGTGGTAATGGGGGTAGTGGGGGTAGTGGTGGTAGTGGGGGTAATGGTGGTGTTTGGAATGGCGGTAATGGTGGCAGGGGTGGTAATGGGGGTAGTGGGGGTAGTGGTGGTAGTGGGGGTAATGGTGGTGTTTGGAATGGCGGTAATGGTGGCAGGGGTGGTAATGGGGGTAGTGGTGGTAGTGGGAGTAATGGTGGTGTTTGGAATGGCGGTAATGGTGGCATGGGTGGTAATGGGGGTAGTGGTGGTAATGGTGGTGTTTGGAATGGCGGTAATGGGGGCAGGGGTGGTAATGGTGGCAATGGGGGTAATGGAGGACAAGGCGGTAATGGTGGTATTTTGAATGGCGGTAATGGGGACGATTGGGGTAATGAAGAATATGACAGATATGCTGGTGTTTGGAATAGGGGTGATGGGGGCAGAAGGGGTAATGGAGGACAAGGCGGTCATAAGGGTGTTTGGAATGGCGGCAGTGGTGGCGGTGGGGGTAATGGAGGACATGGTGGTAATGGGGGCAGTGGGGGTAACGGAGGACATGGCGGTAATGGAGGACATGGCGGTCATAGGGTTGTTTGGAATGGGGGTAATGGAGGACATGGTGGTAATGGCGGCAGTGGAGGTAATGGAGGACATGGCGGTAATGGGGGTAACGGAGGACATGGCGGTAATGGAGGACATGGCGGTCATAGGGTTGTTTGGAATGGGGGTAATGGAGGACATGGCGGTAATGGGGGTAATGGAGGACATGGTGGTCGTGGGGGTAACTGAAGATTTAATCGTGATTATAACCTTTTGATCCGGTATGACAGCTATAAAGGTGCACGCACTGTAATTGACAAATAAACGCTGAAATATTGAAATATTTTAAGCGTTAATCAATTAAAAAAATTCCAATAGCATTTTAAGATTCATGTTATTTTCTATATGAATGCAATCCTCGTATATATGAGAGTGTGGATGGGGTGTACAGAAATGAGAATAATGGACGAAACGGGCAGACGAATACAGGACAAAAAATATAAAGAATAGAGAAAATTAGGTGAAAAAATAAAGAATTGAAAATAATGGGGTGCTAGAATATAAAGAATTGAGAATACTAGGAATAATTTAGAAAGAATAGAGAAAATGGCTAAAAAAATTAAAGAATACAGAATTGATGTCCCCCCCCCCCATCCAGTCCCTGATATATACACCTCATGTTATATGTTCACAAGTGTTGAAAAGTATCACGACTGAGAGATATATTTTTTTTTATCTTTAGCTAAAGGTAAGTTATATTGGATATTGCAACATAGGAAAGGTAATGTCATAATCGGTATGTTGAAGTAAAATCGGAGCCAATTTATAATCCTTTTTTGTAGTTGTAGTCAAATCTAGGCGTATCTGTTGCATATATTATTCCAAATTCTATGGGATAAATGCAATGAATATATAATCCTCAAACCTAAAACAATTCAAATGATCGACACCATATTTCATATACAAAAAAGGTAAAAAAAATTGGGAGAAATTCGTTTGCGCCTGAAATGCGTCCTTTTGCATCAATGTGTCCTTTTACGCAACTCATTTGCACCAATACTACATTTGCGCCACTAGTATTAACAAGAGGCTCATGAGAGCCTGATATCCCTCACCCGTAATTTCAGTTTCAGGCATTTGACTTATTTGTAGATCTTACTTTGCTGAACAATTTTGTCATTTACACTTTCTCACTTTCTATAATAATATTAAAGATGATACATAACCCAAAAATGTAAAATTTCCTAAAAATTAACTATTTCTGGACAGTGACCCAACAATAAGTTGTCCTATTGGTCTAAAGTTTTCTTGACAGGTAGATCTAACCCTGTTAAACACTTTCACCTATATCAGTTTTGCTCTTACTGCTTTAGTTTTTGAGATGACTTCATTTGACCCCTATGTTCTATTTTTAAAAACTGCCGCCATGTTTTTGAATTGATCAAATCCCCGAATACAATCTATAAACTAGATTCCCTAAGAAACATTGAATTATAGTTTTTAAGTTTCAGAGAAGAAGATTTTTGAAAAAGTAATTAGACTTTCCCAAAAAAAGGAAAAAAAAAAAGTTTTCAGGGCAATAACTCCTTAAGGGGTTAATTGACTATTTTGATCATGTTGACTTATTTGTAGATCTTACTATTTTGTAGTATCATAACAGATAGATCATAACCCATCTATCACTTAAACTCACTTTCACTTTTGCTCTAACTGCTGTAGTTTTTAAGATATAAGCCAAAAACTGCTTTTGTCCCCTATGTTCTATTTTTAAGCATGGCGGCCATGTTTGTAAATCATGGATAAAAACTTCGGATATAACTTATAAACTAGATACTCTAAGGAACATTCAGTTAAAGTTTGGAAGTATTTGGCCCATTGGTTTCAGAGAAGAAGATTTTTTATAAAGTAATAAAATGTAAAAATGTAAAAAAATAAACGTTTCAAGGGCAATAACTCCTTAAGGAGTCAATTGACTAGTTTGATCATTTGACTTATTTGTAATAGTTAGGTTAACTCCTAACTTTCCTACTGCCTGTCGATACTTTTATTTTAGTTTTTAAGTTTCAGAGAAGAAGATTTTTGAAAAAGTAATTAGACTTTCCCAAAAAAAGGAAAAAAAAAAAGTTTTCAGGGCAATAACTCCTTAAGGGGTTAATTGACTATTTTGATCATGTTGACTTATTTGTAGATCTTACTATTTTGTAGTATCATAACAGATAGATCATAACCCATCTATCACTTAAACTCACTTTCACTTTTGCTCTAACTGCTGTAGTTTTTAAGATATAAGCCAAAAACTGCTTTTGTCCCCTATGTTCTATTTTTAAGCATGGCGGCCATGTTTGTAAATCATGGATAAAAACTTCGGATATAACTTATAAACTAGATACTCTAAGGAACATTCAGTTAAAGTTTGGAAGTATTTGGCCCAGTAGTTTCAGAGAAGAAGATTTTTTATAAAGTAATAAAATGTAAAAATGTAAAAAAATAAACGTTTCAAGGGCAATAACTCCTTAAGGAGTCAATTGACTAGTTTGATCATTTGACTTATTTGTAGATCCTACTTAGCTGCACATTTTTGCCATTTACACTTTCTCTCTATCTATTATAATATTAAAGATAATAACCAAAAACAGTATAATTTCTTAAAAATAAACTATTTCGGACAGTAACCCTACAATGGGTGGTCCAATTGGTCTGAATATTCAAGATAATAACCAAAAACTGCAAAATTTCCTTAAAATTATCAATTTAGTTGCAGCAACCCAACAATGGGTTGTTCGGTTCTTCTGAAAATTTCAGGGCGGATAGATCTTGACCTAAACAAAAGTTTTACCCCTGTCAGATTTGCTCTAAATGCTTTAGTTTGTGAGATATAAGCCAAAAACTGCATTTGACCCCTATGTTCTATTTTTAGGCATGGCGGCCATGTTTGTAGATGGATAAAAACTTCGGATATAATTTATAAACTAGATACCCTATGGAACATTCAGTTAAAGTTTGACGGTATTTGGCTCAGTAGTTTCAGAGGAGAAGATTCTGGAAATAGTTTACAACGACGACGACGACGGACGCCAAGTGATGGCATAAGCTCACATGGGGCCTTTCGGGCCCAGATGAGCTAAAGATACCTATCATCATTTGCACCAAAAATAAAGTATAAGATTACGCAATTTTTTCTTAATAAAAACAATAAATGACTTCACTTCTCCTTTTTAACCGGGTATAGGACCAGTAATTGACATTGGCCTAGTTAAGGTCATTGCTTCGGTACTATTTACAAAGACGATTTACTACAAACTTTTCATGATTTTTCCGTTCAAAAGCTCTTCGGATTCACGTAATAGATATAGTGTTAATTTAGTTTACTAGCATTGGGTCGATGCAGCAGCTGGTGGACTGTTAGTTCCCGGCTCAGTGGTCAATGCATCAGTACAATGACATGGTTTATTACAAAATTTCCGTAATTTTTCCGTTGAGAAATAATTAAGAAACTAAGGTTCTAACTCCCTCTGGCAAAGTTGACCTTAGATGAAATTGGCTATTTTAAATCCCTTTCGGTCATACAGCTCTTCGCGTGTTCCTATCTTGTTCATCTTTGGCTTTCAAATAGTGCTCTTTATTTCATCTATTTTTTTAGTAACCACAATTTAATAGGGATTACTATGTACGGTAGATACTAAAATATATGTAAAGGTAAACTGGCGCAAATGAATTCCGTAAATTGGCGCAATTGAAACTTTTGAAAAATAATATTTGGCACACACAAGTGATACATTTTGAGCAAAAAAACTGCTGCCAAATTTATAATGCATATTGGTATGTTGGTTTAATTTTGCTTGAGAAGCCATATATTAGGTCTGAATGGGGATTTCTTTGTTCTTCAACTTTTTAGACAACTTTTCTCTTTTCTTTATATTTTGACCATTATTCTCTATTCTTTAATTTTTTTTCACCCTATTATTCTCTATTCTTTATATTTCTTCACCCTATTATTCCCTATTCTTTATTTTTTAGGGCTTATTTTCTCTATTCTTTATAATTTTTGCCCGGCTTCATTCTGACTATTTGCACATTATTTTCTATTCTGTAAACTCCATCCAGACCCTTCTGTATGTAATAGAAAAGAAAGGATATGGGGTATCCATCCAGGACACAAAACCATTATGGGCACAGCAAAAAACACAAAAAACAAAGAATCAGCGCTTTTATTGCAGTTCTTTATCTCAAAGTCACAATGAGGCCTTCAACACAAAGCAAAAAACTCTACCCCTCACAGTAAGATTAAGACGGTCCCTAGCACCGGTTTGAGTGGAATTCTTGGCAAACTCCACAACCGTGAATTGAAGAACAAAGCCATGGATTAATATCAATAAAATCAATCTGGCATAGAAATCAAACATGTACTGTCATAATTAAGTTTGCTTGAAACGAATAGGAAGTCGGCGAGAACAGAAGTATAGTTGGTTCTCCGAATCAAAGGAATATAAATCGTGATTGTCTGTTTAAAACATATTCATATACATCATGTCAATCTTCAATAAAAAATCTAGACAGCACTTTGTCAATGTCAGTCTCATAAAAGTTTGTGTTAGAATGAGAGTTTTATATATAAATTTCATTAATTAATAATTCATTTATTTATTCATATTTTTTAAGTAATTTTGTCCATCCATAATTATCTTTGAAACACAATATTTAATTTTCTAGAATTTGATGACACAAGTAACAGATATATACACCACATGAGGGTCTGACTGGGGGTCCTCATTTCTGCATTCCATGATTATTTAGACCACTTATTCTCTATTCTTTATATTTCAGCCTATTTTTATATCGTCATTTCTGTGTATCTGTAGTATTATATCGAGGCCACATATTCTACTTATGAACTTTTCAGCTATTCCAAGTTTTAGGTAGCACAGTGAACGAATGCTCACAATTGAAATTCCTACAGCTAAAACTAACAGAAGTAATGTTATTTGTCTTATATTATGGGTTTCGACTGTGACCCCTAAAACAAATAAAACGAGGTCTTCATATTCAAATAACCAGACTGTTTTAGGGAACAGTCATTATTTATCAGCTGAGGGGGTCGGTTCATTTTAGGGGGGGTCATTACCAAACATATCATACAGTTGGGGGGGGTTGCCATCAAAAATTTTATTTGACTGGGGGGGGGGGGGGGGTCACACAATGAAAGTTTTTATGTCTGACAAGCATATAAATTGTTGACGATATTGAAGTGAGTGTGCAATCTTTTAAATAATTTCTGTCATTAAATCATTGGTCATGTACAGCACTAGCAGGATGTCTAAGTTCTCAAGGGTAGTGAATCTGGTCACTCCTTATCACAGTCATCTGTTATGGTTCATTATCCCATGGA